AATAAGAAATAGCGTCTTCTGTCGAAAACGAAGCACAAGTCCGAAAAAGAATTTTTTACAAGGCACCTCGAGATCCAGACAGACACTTTAATGTGAAATGTTCCAGAAATAGAGCTGACTACTTAAGTTAGTGACAAAATATAATTAAGGCTTGCAGTCGTGAAAAGCCTTGCTAAAGGAACCGCTACGCTTTTTTAAAACTACTGCACTGACAGATTTGGAAAAGAATAAGATCTGACAGCGAGAAAATACTGAAAAAAATTACTCGATGGTTTTGATAGGCTGTTACGGCCATGAAAGCAGTGTTTGGAAATGAAAACGTCCGGCACTGACGTCCATTACCATCTGCATGCACTACAACGTGAATATTGGGCTGGTAACGATGCATTGAATTTACAATAATCTGAAGCTTATTACACAGAATTAAAAGCTAATTGTTGTACTCTGTAAATTAAGAAACGAATCCAGATTCATCGTAGCCGTACGCGAGAAGCTGGCACTTATTTGTGAAAACTATTGGCGCACAAAATATGCCTGCATTCTTGCAGAGTTATTGCCTTCTTGCTTGCGTGACTACTAGCAGGGAAAGACGGTGGAAGTGCTGCAGTATGAACATTTGGTGCGTCCACGTGCAGGTACATTCGTAGGTAAAAGCTCGTTTTACTCCTATATGCTGGCGCGTGGACGATAATTATTCTCGCAAAATTTGGTTTCCAGCCCAGCCTGATTGCAAAGTCAAATGAACGTTAAGACTTTCCAAAAAAAAAGAATTTTTAATTGCACTTAATACGAAGCCTAGACATGTCTCATGCCTAGATTTTAAATCTTTAACTTGGACACAGAATAAACTCATAAAATTCCAGCCAGTCCCGCTTCTTCGCTAAAATATTTTCAATGTACGCTGGCATGTGGCGCGTGTATATCCAAAGTTCAATTTAGTGTACGAGTTCCCGCTCAGACGCATAAAAATTTTTTCTTAGCGAAGGCACAAACACATTGACAAATGTTTCTGTGTTCTGAAAATCACTTTCGTGAGTACTGCTATTAATGAACTGAAAATACCGCAAGATTTCAGTTTGGATCAAGAGTTTAGCGTTGCGTTATAAGAAATCATTGGCATGGCGCACTAAGCGAGGCCGTGTGATCATGCGCTTTTGCAGTATTTTGTGATGCGTCGCTTTGAGTCCCGTAGCTAGAATTTATGATATACTGGTACGTGAATTTTAAAAAGTTAACTGTACAACTACGCAATACTTGGACAAGCAACTTCCCCTTAAAATTTCAGCTTTCTAGCTTTTATGGCCCCAAGTTAGCAAATTCTTACGGACTCGGACGCGAGACCACGCGCACCTGGGTGCCGACTTTGAAATAGTTAAGTTACACATGAACAGGGAAGATCCTCGTAAAACTTCAGCCTCCCAACTTTTCTGGTTTTCGAGTTGGCGACTTTCTCGCCGAAGCTTTCAAGTGATCGTATGCGGGGACCAGACGTGGTCCTGGGGTGGCATTTGATCGGAGAACCTACTGACAAAATTTTAGCTCCAGGAGTTGCTTGGCTGCTTAGTTGAAATAAGCGGACAGACGCACACACTCACATACACACATGCAGCACAAATATGTACACAGATACGCACACTACGGGTCGTCAAATATGCGTTTTTATGCGTTTTTGCCGTGCAGCGATAGAGCGCTGCAACAGGCAGCAAAAACGCATATTGAAAAGACCCTGTCAGTGTGTGTATGTGTGTGTGTGTGTATGTTTGTGTGTGTGT